AAGAGGCACCGAAAGGGTTGCTAACAGTGCTAACACTGCTAACAGATAATAAAGTACGAGTTAAAATCACACAAAGCAATTATATACATGTGTTGATGTTATTTACAATACTGTTATTTGAATATTTGACAATTGAATTTATTACAGTTTACCACTAATTAAAATTAGTAAACTGTGAACAGTCTTTCTTTTTTGTGACTCAAATTTTATCTTAAACTGGCATACCTCCAGAAGTAAGGAAGTATTATCAAGTACTGTGGAGTACAGTGTCCTAGCCATACAGAGTTATACAGAGTAGACCACTATTGGCAGACGTCATTATAGCATATTTCAGCTAAATGGATCTATAGACTTTGACAGTCATTCGAAACTAGTATCATCAGTCCCTCTAACCCTAACAATTTCTATTTTATATAGAACATTGTTATATTTGTGATCGTTTCATTGTTCGTAAATACAATATCGTTTTCTACAGTCCAGTACGATTATTGGTCACCAAGTCTTGAGCACGTTACCACATTTTTAAGAGGATTAAAGGGGCCTGACCAGTACCATATAGCTGGACCGTAGCGTAACAATATCTTACCAAACAGACACAACCAAACAACCAAATATAATGCAACAACAAAAACAACTATGATCCAGCTGGGTAAAATAGCACTTCTAGACTGGTGGTTATTGTGCTATTCTATAAAGTTTGATCTCTCTTGCTATAGAAGAAACCGGTTGACACATACAAGTATCGATTATATTGATAGCATGCGTGAAAACTGAAAACATGACCTAAAATTCTCTATTTTAAGCTTACAAAGTTGGTATTTTTCTATCACGACATGTTAAGAGGAAAAACTGACAAGCTACAAGTATTTCATGATAACAAACCGCTTGACAAACCTCGTGAAAGATGATAACAAATACTCTCGGCCGAATTATCACACCACACACTTAACATTGATAAAAATATATCGTCATTGTAGCGTTTATATTTATTCTTTTCATATACGAAAGAGTCTGAAATCAGGCAATATATGTAAAGAGTAATTATGAGAAACATGTGGTTAGACTGTAAGATTACTGCCTAATATCTATAGACGTATTTTATTTCTCATTTATCAAGTCAAACCTCTTCTCATCGTTACGATCTTTTAACAAGGCTTATGGTTGTTATTTAAATGTGCGTTGTTGTTTTTTGTTATCATCTGGGGGTCATCACTTCCCATACCGTTAATTAGTGCCGATTATCACTAAAGGGGTGGTACGGGGTGCGAGAGATGTTGAACTTTTATTTATATCTTATGAAACCTAAATAAACCCTTTTTCCTATTATCAACTCTTATTTGCTCTAACTGTGTGGGTTTTTTTCTGGTTTTACATCGGTAATAAGTTATGACATATGTTTTTGGTCATAACTCGGCGATCGGCCCACATAATCGGCTTTCCAGGATAATTAACAAGTAACGACCTGTCTCCACAAGTGACCGACTACTACATCGAGTACTAATTCCACATAATTTCTGAACAAATGACCAGTAGATCCAATGTCCTAGACAAAATACGCATCATTCGAGGATTAAACTAGCGACCCCTGGAATATTTATCCAATGTTCACATATTGAACAAAGCGGGCGTCTTTAAAGTAAAAACAAAAACGTACATGCTTGAAACCTGTCAGTTCAAATTGTAGATTAAATTGATTAATTAAGAATTATGGGAAAAGAAAACATAATTTAGCTGTACTATGGGCAAAGAATAGCAAAGATTAGATTATTGAGTTTATTTTTCTTGTTTCTAGATCAAAGGCTTATCATCTATTCATTTAGCCGTACTCCAGACAAAACTTTTCATGTTGGGGACTTTCGCCTAAAAACATAACCAAAGATCAGTTACGAACTTGGTATCTCTGACTCAGCATAAGCTTACAAATGAGTAAATGACAACAACAAAAAATATGAGTGAAAGAATTGTTTACTTTCTCAGTTATATACTGTAAAGATAAATGCAGTCAAATACACAAATCATTCACAAACAAACATATTTTTTTTAAATAGCAAGTACTTCCATTTTTTAATGTACGTTCAAAGTTGGTTGAAATGTTCTTTCCTAATTTGTACATTTTACGTTCAATTGACCTCTAACAAAGTGAGGTAAGCAAATAACGATCAATCAGAAATGTGAAGTTATTTATTAAGAAGGAAAAGTTATAACTAGAAAAAAGTCCATCAGTTATTACTTTTAACTGATCAAAATAACATCTAAAATCTTAGTTAATGACTGATCATAATTTATATAGAATTACTGGAAAACTATTTTGCCAGAGTAATAGCCCATAAGTTCAAACATAGAAATATAGATATACTTATTCAATGAAATAGTTATAATATAACCATATTTAGGCATAATCATTTAAGAAATTGATACGTATTTTACGTCATGATAAACAGGTGAAGTTGTTGTTTTGTTTTTAATTTATTTTGGCAAGAAAAAGAAATTAACTTTTAAGTAATATTATTTAAATTTTAATGTTTTAATCAAATTTAGTGACAATTGTCAGCTAGAGTATAAGGGGAGCAAAAAGAAATGACTGTGTACATATTGTGACAACGTTTAAACTGTGATACAGTGGATGAATTCAAATTTTCACTTCAACAAAATATTTTAACTTCTTCTCTTAACATGAGGATCTATACACCAGTTGAATAGCTGTGTCCTTATTGATAGAATGAAAAACATCAAAGTGATATCGAGTTTGGAACAATATATGCCTACACTTGTATTTCTGATTTAAAACTCAATGTTGCTTGGTATGTATTTTGCAAAGTAAAAAAAAGAGCATACATGCGACATGTACATCCGGTTCATACAGTAATAATAAATAAAGCTACCACAACAATAATACTCTAATTAAAGTGCACCAACTTTCTTATTTAACAACTTCTCCTCATTCTTTTATGATTACCAATGAAAATATCGTCACCTTAGTGCAGTAACGGATTAAGTCCTTTTAAATTTAATAGGAGTTAACCAGTTGTTGCACTAAGGTGATGAAATATAGCCCTGTGATATAAATATCTGATGCCATTCGTTACAAGAAAACAGTTATCAAAATAAACTACAAACCCCAGTAGCACAATTACTGTATAGAATAAATGCAAAACATATACCCAGATAAACAATTACAAACAAAAACTACATTGAATTGCAATGAATCAAATATCACAGTCAAGTATATAAAATTTAAATATTTAATAATAGGAAGAAGCAAACATATATCTTTACATTACATAATATATAAATGATCATCTTTCAAATAAAACAAAACATTTTCTCTATTTTCAAATATAGCAAGTTGCAGTAAAGGTAATCTTTACTTAAGATTTGTACATATGTGTCAACTGTTGATTCCTGCATGTAAAAAAAATCTAAAATTTCGGTCAGTAATGATGTCTCACTTATGTCAACAGTAAAGAGCCAGGGAAGTCAACATGTTCAAAATAGACCAACAATGCTATATACAGCTAGATGCTTACTTAATTTGGTACAAAAGTCTGATGGAATGTTCTTAAATCACGGCAGAGCAAATCTTATACATGAATTAAGGATTTTGAGAGTTGGTTAGAATTAACTAGAAGTCACTACTGAATGACCTTTTTCATAAACATAAATCAATTGCAAATTACTTTTAAAAAAACTTTTTTTGACTGTTACATCTTGGGAGAAAATACTCTTTCTATCAGCGTTCATTTGCAAAATTTTGCTTAAATTTTTCTGGATGTTACATCTTAGAACAAAACGAAATCTGTCTGTCTGCGCTAATTAATTTGCTATTATGAGTGATGATCATTAGTATATTATAACGGCAGTTTCAACAAAGATAAAAAAAACGAATGTAATAATAATAAGAATAACAAAGATTAAGATAGGGGGTGTACATATTTGTACACAATTTTACAAAGAAAAAAAATGTATTTTCTCCACAGAAAATACCGATGTTTTCTCCACAGAAAATACCGATATTTTCTCTATAAATTATGCAACAAAAATTTAAGCAAAGAAAACCCTGTTTTATAATACCGACGAAAAGTTACACACAATTAAAATGTTAAAACAAATTTAGTTAGCTTTAGGAAAGGCTTAAAGTTAAAGTGTCCATTTCACATTTATTTTGAAAATATATATGGCAACAGACAGCGATTGGCCTGGTCATAGCAACAACAATATTCTAAATGTTTTATAAAATTTTCCAGCATTCAATAATAATAATAATAATAATAACAATAATAATAATAATAATTATAATAATAATTTAGCAAATCTATTATGTCAAAGTTAATGAAAACTGTCAATGAACTTCAAAGTTAAAGTCTTGAAGCAAATCACTTATTACTTGAACAATCCTTTTCCAAAATTTCCATGCAATCCATGGAAATAAAGTAACATGGCATGAAAAATGAGAAGAAAATTCAAAGTTTGCAAATACAGCCTACACATACTTATAAACAATATGAAATCTCAAATAACTCTAATAATACTGGTTTATATCTAACAAAAGGTGCATTTACTACATGTACTACAAGATTACAGGACAATTTTACATATACAAGATACATTGTATACCTAAATAAAAACTTGGCCTAAAAAAGAATTAAGGAATATTCATGCAACAATACTTTGCAGGTCCTCTCATTTTGAGCACATTTTTAGAAAAACAAAATCAATTCTAAAATTAAGTTTCAGTCTATAGTTAATAAGATTAAATCTTGAAAAATGTATGTTCTATTATACCATTTAATTTTTACACTTGACAACAATTTTCACTAATTTGACAAGTTTTTAAAAAAAAACACAAACCTGGATATATGCTAAAGAAACCATAATAATTTTTAACAAAAAAATATAAAACACATATTTTCTATCTAAAACTCGTTGGCAGATATTTTATTGCTGCATTGTCTTAATACAAAATAAAATGGAAAACTCAAAAATAATAAATAAACTAAAAACAAAATCAATGATTTTATTGTTCCATAACAATGAACAGGTCCCAACAAATTAACAAGAATTGAATTATTTACAATCGAACAAGCATTTGTGTCAAAATATATGTCAAAATATATGTATATGTAAATATAAAATGTAAATATTCCTATGTAACAAATTCCTTATGAAGTTACAGTAATGGACGGCTGTTTCTTTTCCCGAGCAGATTGTTGCGCCAGGTACAGTTGACGATCTTTCTTCATCTTCTCAGTCTTCGTCTGTTTGGACGTTATATGCAGAGGTGGCAACATCTTCTCCAGTTTTGGGTTGTTCGGGAATTTTAGCAAGTTAGCCACCTTATTCAATAAAGCACTGGAAATAACAAAAAACAACTTTATAAAAAATATCATGACAATTTCATTTTTGACCTTTTCTGTCCAATGAGGAAGCCTAAATTTGAAACTTTCTGACTGTTCATTTCCCATATATTAACTAATAAATTATTTTCAATTCTATACCGTTTTTGCGGATTTTGCATATTTACATTTAGAGAGATATGTGTAAGACTATGACTTTACTAGTGAGAGTTAAATGTCACGGTTTTAGACAATAATAAGAATACGCTTCTCCCCTAATTCTTTCTTATTATTGTCTAACCGTTACTCAATGATGTCTCAATCCAGTAAAAATAAGCAAAGAAACATATTAACCAGGAACAATTTTATAAATGTAAATGTACATAATTAATGATTGATTAAGGCTACACATGGCCTTCATTTTTAACAACATATATAAACCCATTAAATATATCAGCAATTTCAAAAAAAATAAAATCTGTTTTTATAAGACCTTTATATAAGTGAAATAGAACAGTGGTCACAGTTTATACCTTAGTTTGAGCATTTCAATATCGAATTATTTGGTAGGTATGTACCTTTTTAAGTATCAAAGATAATTTTAGTTGGTCTTTTTTATCAACTGATTTCACACAAAAACAAATAAATATTATACCAGATATCTGGTAGGATATTTTAAAGAGATAACATAACTGAATCCAAAACTTCATAGCTGCAGTAATTCATCAATAGGGGACTGATACAGTTTATAACCATCATAAATAAAATTATACCAAATAAACTTTCACAAGATAACAAGCTTCATTTATGTACTTAGATGGTTATCATTTCAAACTGGTTCAAACTAACCAAATAAATTGAACCATCATCACATGTAAGATAGACAAATATGTTATCAATAATGTATACAAAAAGACCAACAAGGCAAAGGCAATCATCTCAGTTCACAGGATGCAGCCCCAGACAAGATCCAACCACCACAGCAGGGCACCCAGGAGACACCAATCAAAACTGGGTGAAAACACAAGGGCAGCGAAAGGAGGGAAGGAACACCCAATAAGTAAAATGATAAGAACTAAAAGGGGCCAATATGAGGAATAAAAATAATTTTAAAAGTTCCACAATAATAAGTGTTATCACTTACTCCACATGATTTTTCTTCTCCTCTAGGAAAATATATTCCTCCTCCACCTCTTTAAGTGGAGCATTCTCTGGAGCCACCAACTACAATAAACAATCATTTGAATAATATTAAATTATCTTTATATCAATATTGAATAAACATGTTTAGACAATTTTTACAATGTTTGGTAGTAGTAAATTAAATTATTATCAAGCAAAATCTTCAAAAGAGCTGTACTTCAATTTTTTAATTGTGCAAGAATTTGTTTTGAACAAGAATTGCGCCAGATTTTGTATACAGTAGTACAAGAAGTTTAATTTGTAAATGTACCAGACCTAGAATTGTTCAAGAATTTGAATTGGAAATTGTGCCATTTGTATTGTACTAGAATTTGATTTTTTGTTGTAATTGTGCCAGACTATGTAAATGCACCAGAGTTTGCAAGTGTAGTGGTGCATTATCTTATTTTATTCAGCTAGCAACTTAGGCAAATACACCCTTTCAGGCAGTAAAACAACTTACCAAAAATCAAAGTTTTTCCTTAAAAATTAAGATAATTTCATACACTGATCACTACAATTATGTAAATACAAGTTTCAACAATAATAACACACTCATTCATTGCTTATCAAGTACTATATGAATCATGATACACATTACATACCTTAAGTCTAGATCCCATGTTAAATCTACAACTTCTCTTACTAGCGCTGAATGTCAGGGATATATTATCCTGGCTCATAACACGTATTCCCATATGTCTATTTATACCTATACATATAGGCTGGAAGGGAGGGGCATGTACGTGGGTGACCTGATCTTTCCAGCTCCATTTACGACGTCTGGCACCAAAGTTATCAAGCTCTATTCCCCCATACTGATCTATATATAACCTTACAATAGAAGCAAGTTATTAAAATTATATGCAGGTTCAACTTTTCAAAAGAAAAGAAAATAATTTATTTGACCTTCATATAAATAAATACAAAGTAAGTAACTATAGAATATAAAGCTAGATGTGTTTAGAATTTCAAATCACTTCAGGACACTTTAATTAACAAAGCACATCTCTCAAAATACTGAATATTATTTCAATAGTGCAACTGTTGGTGGCCAACATTAATATTGGCAATGACACCACTAAATCATCAGTACATAACAATTATACACCTGTATAGTTTAAATTGACCGTAACACAGGATGCTCAAAATTTTTAATCTTTATGATAACTTAACAGGAAGTTTTATATTTTTGTAGTGAGGCAAATTGTTAAGCAGTGCAAGGGACATAACTCAATTTCAAAGCTAAACTCAAAAAAAAGTTGTCAAGTTTAAATAATTTTTCAAAGATGTAAATGCCATGAAGCAAACAAAGCATTAATCCATTTAAAAACATATCTTTTTTTATTCAATAGTACAAATGTAGCGCCACATTTAAGTTTTATAAAATCTTTAACCAAAAATTGTCTTAAAAGTGGGTCAGGAAAATTTTTTTTGCTATGTCATGTTTTATCAGCTTGTTTATTACTGATCTAACAATCAGCAATTTTATCAACTCATTAATGATAATTATGAGAGCAGAACCTAGGACTTGTATAGTTAAACAACATAGATTTTAACCTGAACAACATTTAATTACAACAACAGGTCCATTATGACCGTGCATCAATCAGAAATGTTACATTGCATTCAAAACAGTCTTAGCTTCAATAAATCAAAATAAGATAAATGAATTTTAATTAAGGTCAAAACAAAGAAATGAAATTTCAATTTTGGCTATGATCCTTGCCACTAGTATATTGAAAGAAGCCATTTTTTCAGCCTAATGGCCTAATTTCACAGAAAAGCATAATTACCTTAGAAATCTCAAGATCAAAGGCTTTTAATGAAATACAACATAAATTAATAATCATTTTGATATTTAATTCTAATTTTCATAATTTTCAACATTAGCTTACCATAGAAATTTATTTAGTCTGACCATGATAGAAAACTGATAAGTTATCCTACTGATAAAATTTAATTGCCATAATTGCCAATTATTATAGTTATTTGATTAATTTAAATAGGGATGTCAGGTAAATCCTTTAAAGAATTTAGACTTTCCCTACCTGATATCGCCATTAGGAAAGTAGCAGTATCCAAGACCGTTTGGTTCAAATGCTGCGGCCACACCTGACCTCTGTGAATCTGGATGTATCGTGTAGTTATACTGACCTAGCTTTACAGATGACAGCAGGATGGCAAGATTTCCAGATGGATAACTAATTACTCTGTTAAGGATACTTTGTTTTGTTTGTTTCGTTAGGTTTTATGGTGCACCAACACAATTAAGTTCACATGGTGCCGAAACAAGAAAGATGATTTTCGGCAAACCTCATGTGTTATAAACTTAAAGCAACACCAGGGGTGAAAACCACCTCAGATATGCATAGACTCCAGTAATTTTAACTCATTTATTGGCATTTTTTGATCAAGCATGGATAAACAGTGGCTGCAATTCTGATGCATTTACCCTTAAAGGCAACCCCTCAGCCATTAGAAGCCTGTTAGGGAGACATTTCTGTGCAAGTTCTTTTACACTGTATGTATAAAAAAAGATATTTTTTCCAGCAGCAACTTGTCTCTTTCTGATTATGATGATATACAATTATTTTTACAGTATAAAAATTATTTTTTTCTGGCATTGTTAAATTTCAAGTGAGCTAGTTTAAAAACATCGAGGCTCTTAACTTGCTGGAACATACAGTAAAACTAACTGAGCCTTTGCCATCAGTCACTGCGGATGGTCATGAGACCAAAATCGTGCAATGGGCTCATAAAATGGCCACTTAAACGCTCGGTAAAAGCAGTGAAATTGAGGTAAGCATACATTTAAAGTTACATTTATCTGTAGAACTAGGTCGCATGAAACCCCTGTATAAAAACCACGTACTGTTCTGTTGATTACTTTGTAGCTCTCCCTGTTTAGGCTAGAAAGTCGAAAAAGTTGTTTTGGGTGATGAGTACAATGGCCGAACAGGTACTAAAATGCATTGTTTTCTGTAAAAGAAAAGCATTTTGAGCAAAATCAGCAATGACATCTTGTGCACAATTGCAAGTTTGCCCGTCAAGAACAATTTCCACCGTTTGTAAACTTGCTTAACGAAAAACAAATACAATGGTCGGAGTACAATGGCCGAATGATTTTATTGCCTGTCCTATTTCGTCTATTTTTTTTTTATCGACTTATGCTTGTTTCTCGCTTCCTGTCTTTGAAATCAAACAAATATGATATTTGAAAGTGAAAAGTAGGAAGATCGAAGTATTAAATTAAATGAATTCAGTTTGCTTGCTATACATTCTCATCTAAATAGTATTATGCTTTGATAACACACGTGTACATCAGCTTAAAAGTATTTACAATGCAAAAATAAAATACAAACAAAAAATTGTACATTATATAGAATTTATTTCACCAACAAAATATATGTTTCAATTACATACATTAAATTGTCAATTATTTTGGAAATAGTCAGGGTTTTTTTGTTTTTGTTATAAATTTCACTAGTGGTTTATCAGAATATAATCATCTGATATATTACAATAAAACACTGGAAAGCATGAAATAAAAACCTATATCTTTGCATTTGCCGAAACACAGGAACCATGTCCCACAACATTTATGGGGTACCTTCCCCTTGTGTACCTGCTCGTGACGACATGAAGCTGATCGTGTTCTATACGATTTGCAATAATGCGGCAAACAAACACATCAGAATTTCCGATTCATGTAAAGATATTGAATTACTAAATGTGGTGTGATGTATTAAGTATTTAACGATAATATAAGCACAATATCAAAATTTAAAATATACTATACATGTATATATTCCATAGATATACGTAAACATGCTTTTCATTTAAAGGAACACTTTTTTCTGCGTCTGAAATACAAAAAAAAAACAACAACTGACTTTATTTCCAAAATAATTGTCAAAATGGTATGACATTTTATGTATGTAAATGAAACAAATATTTTGCTGGTGAAATAAATTCTATATAATGTACGTTTGTATTTCATTTTTGTATTGTAAATACTTTTAAGCTGATGTACACGTGTGTACGTGTGTACGTGGTTTTTATACAGAGGTTCTGTGCAGCCTAGTTTTACATGTAAATGTAAAGTTAACTGAAAACTTACCTCAATTTCAATGCTTTTACCGAGCGTTTAAGCCGCCATTTTATGAGCCCATTGTACGATTTTGGTCACGTGATCATCGCAGTGATCAGTATAAAGCCAAAATAAACATGCACATCTATACTATTTGTAGCTCCATTTGTTGTATTCTGTTATTGAAATCACTTACTTTTCAAATGGTCTGTCCTTAATTTAAAGTGGCCTTTAGTTTTCAATTTTTTGTTGGATAAACAATTCTGTGTTGTTTCAAACTAAGTATTTCAGAAACTTTAAATCGGAAAAGTGCATCAATTATCACTGTTCGGCCTTTTTCAACACAGCAGCCCAAGAGCTATTTATTACGCGACAGCAATGTTCGTTTCTAGAAATAGAAGATTGGGAAACAAATTGTCCACATTACTTCTTTACACATAGAGAGCAGTAGATTATCTAGGTTTCAAGATGTTTCCTTATTTTTTGTTTTTTAACAATGGCAAATTTCATTTTCCACCTTAATCCTTTTCATTTGACCATTGTATGAAACAATTTATAATCTAAAAATAACATATTTAACCTTTGAAAAAAAGCTTATTGCCACTTTAAAGTAGGGTAAATCTTGACCCTTAACTTGCTGGAACTAAGAGGGGTTAATCAAATACACAAATTCAGCAGATGAAAGAGTATAACACTTAATTAGCAGCTTATAATTTCTTTTTTATAAAACAAGGCTTCATATTATACAATTAATTGTATTTTTTTTAATCTTTTATAGGAAATAAAAAGGATACAACACGTTGCCAGTTCCGTCCGGGAACATGGTTAAAAATTTCTTTCCATTCTCGTAAAACTTCTCGATCAAAGGTCGATCTCGCAACTATAATTGAAAAAAAAAATCATTAAAACAAACATGTCATTCATATGTTACCACAAAAGCTGTAACTAATACAAAAGTTAATATTTACTGCGGTTAAATTACAATCTTGAACCAAAGAAATTCTAAGTTGCCATCAAATATCTGTCATTTTTATAAAACATGACAGTGTTTGAAACAGTAAAGTATTTTGTAAACCAATTTATAACAATGTTTCCAAAACAGATTTGCAAAAAGAATTAAAAAAATACTCTATATTTATTGGGTAAAATCATTATGTTTTCAATGCTTTTATCAGAGCAGATTTTGTTTATACATGTAACAGTCAAAATCCATACATGAATCTGCCTAATAAGGTTGTTTTTTTAATTTACAATGCCAAAGATATAAAACAAAATAATTTGAAAATGAAATAACTTATTTGGTGAAAATGTAAATTGACATTATTCAATAAATACTGACTTCTTGCTTTTTTCAAAATATAAAAGTTTTTTAAACATTTTTTTTCTTTGTTTTGTTTTGTTTTATTTTACAAAAAAAGTACATATTTGAAGAAATGTTTTCATATTGATATAACAATGGAAATAGCAAAATACATTATTAATAAACAGTATAATGCTATAATTAAGAAAATTCAATCAAAATATATTTCCATGCATAAACAAAATAAATAAAACTTTCAACATCTAAACTTAAATCAATGTATTAATAAGCATAACCAATTAACTAGTGTATCTAATTATTAGAAGCTTCTTTCTGTTTCTAAATAGTAAATTTCTATTTTCATAAAACATGTTAAGAATCTTAATACTTATATTCCAATAAAACTTTCAATGTGGCATAATTAGACCTAACTTTCAATTTGGCATATAATTAGAACTAACTTTCAATGTGGCATAATTAGAACTAACTTTCAATTTGGTCTAATTAGAACTAACTTTCCGGTTGGCCTAATTAGAACTAACTTTCAATTTGGCATAATTAGATCTAACTTTCAATTTGGCATAATTAGAACTCTAAACTTATAGATAATAAGATACTTTAAATGTACTTCACATTTCAAATAGCATCTTTAAATATGAAACCATTCTAATATAAGAAGATCTATTTTTAAAGAAAATAAAAAAACAACATCAATCTGTAACATATAATCTTTTGACAACTTATTAAGCCTATGATGGAGTGGTACATAATTATAAACTGTGTCCTGTACTGAGGTAATATTCTATGGAACAAGAACAAATACTAACAAAACTGTATAAAAAACTGGAAACAAAAGTAACATTTTTGTTTATGATATTTTACCTCCAGGCTTGCAAGAATAAGGGGGTAGGATATCTGCATGAAAAACATTTGTTTGTATTATAATCACTATTAACAACATCTGAATCATTCAATACAACGTAAATCCCTGATAATGCCATAATTGTTATACATCTATGGTGAACAATCTAAATTTCAAAGTATTGATGTAAAAAAAGTCATTTTGGATAAGAATGTACAAGATTTACAATTGTATATTTTTGACATTGTCAAATAAAGTCACCTCAAATAAGAATGTGCAAGATGCACTGCTGTATACTTTTGTCATCAAGTGAAGTTAATTCTGTTTTTGTTAATTCTGTTTTTGTATCAGTAGGAAAGTCACAATGGCTTTTGACAAATCTATGCTCTCAACAGCAACATAAAACTTTGAAAACACCAGAACATTTTTAGGTCACAAAGGGCAATATTTCAGTCAAAATCCATGCCTAAGTTAGGGGGCATGGTCTTTAACCAATGAAGGCATATGTCAACATTTCAATGAATACTTATAGTGCTTGTAGAGAGAGAATTCACATGAAGCTTAAAACAGGAATTTCTCTGTCAATTACCAAGGAGAATAATCAAAAGTTAAAATCCATGCAAGAGTTAAGGCTCGTCTTGGTCAAGACCAATTATTATTATTATTATTTATACCTATGTTATGTTCAATTCAATTCCTTGATTGGTGTAAATAAGCTACATGGCTGAAAAAGCTGAACCAAGTGCATTATGCACGTGCCAATGCCTGAGTCATGTAAGAAAGCCAAAATATGTTTGTCAATTAATAAAGCTAAACTACTTGTATTTTGTTAAAGAAGTTTTTCTTCAGTGTTAATATAAGCATTTTAAAACATGTACTAAAAAAAAAAATCTGATTAAAAAACAATACTTTGTTTTCACAAAGAAGACAGTAAGACTTAGTCTTCCAATTTTCATTTAAATAATGCAAACACTTTCTGGCAGACAACTTTTCTCAACCTGGGTTTCTTTGCAAGGTAAATCTAGGGTTTACATCTGGGTTTTAACATGCTTTTAATTAAAACAATTATACATGTAAAAACATTAAAAGCCAGGGAAATATATAATTTTGTTTATTTTATGAAACTTTGCAATTGGCAAAATGGGATGTTATACATTGGATCCTAATCTTTATCCAGGACAATAAACAAAGGCAAAAATACATGCATTTAAAAGCTTTCTACTCTGTTCTTCCAAGCTAAAAACATGAAAAAAAATCATATTGTGTATATATGTGTAATGAAGCATCTTTGTGTAAAATATATAAAAAAACCACTTGGAGTCCGTTTACTACAGTAATCTTACATGACGCCGGTACCCCTCAGAGTCAGGTCTGTAGGCCTGGGCTAAATCATACTGTGTAATTATATAATAAAACATATATAAATATCTATTAAAGTGAAAGTAAACACTTTTTACCCTAACTCTAAACATATAGCTTGATCTGGAAACAAGTTTTTCAAACTTAATTCATATGATACAATTTTAGACATTAAAAACCACACTACACACCACTTTTGTAATGTGGCTGCCACTCCATAATTTAAGGCAATTTATCTTTTATCAACCACATAGCCCCTTTTGTGGACCCCACAGAGATCGCATAGCTTGACCAGCGAGCTTACTCATCAGTGCAAGGCTTATCAGCAGCCAAAGTCAGTCAAAGAATTTTTACGGTTTAAACTTTATTGATAATTTGTGTTTTTTACAACGATAATTAAGATTTTTATTTGGGAAATAATTTACTTTGGAACAAATTCTCCAACTGGTAAGTTGTGATTTCATATCTTTTTTCAGAATTCAGTACATAACCGATAATTATAAGAATCCTTTGTTCTGTCGTTTAGACAAGATGTCTACTCATTTCCGTAAAGGAAACGTAGCAAACTGACAAAAAATTTGCTATTGAAACAGTGTCGTACAGACATGTGATAGCATAACCTCTTACGGAGGTAAAAAATATTATTCTCTTACGGAGATATTATTACCATAACCTCTTACGGAGGTAAAAATATTATTCTCTTACGGAGATATTATTACCCTAGCCTCTTACGGAGGTAAAAAATATTACCCTAGCCTCTTACGGAGGTAAAAAATATTATTCTCTTACGGAGATATTATTACCCTAGCCTCTTACGGAGGTAAAAAATATTATTCTCTTACGGAGATATTATTACCCTAGCCTCTTACGGAGGTAAAAAATATTATTCTCTTACGGAGATCTTACATAACATGGAAAAATGAGCCCGAACCTCTTACGGAGGCACAAATATAGATACAAATATATTCTTATTTGGAAATCCATAAATTTATTTACAATAAGCTATATCATGCTATACGTACAAACAATTTTCCGCTTTATCATTAAAAATAGCGGCAACCATAAACTGACCCTTACGCGGGTCATATTCATAACAGTGATTTATGCATCGTGTCGAACGATAAAACATTAATTAATTTATCATCTACTGCTGTAAAAAATTATAAATAATTGTTCAAATTTGAACACCTTGAAATTAAGAATTTATCTATGCATGATGTTTTAAAAAATAGGGTTCAAATAAATTGTAATTTTGAGGGAATCCCGATTTCTGTTTACAGTGTAAAAATGGAAACACTCGTGGGCGGAAGTGAGACTGAAGCTGCGCGCGAGGAGGGAGGCACCTCACGGGATAAAATTAGCGAATTCGTTAGCAAAGGAGAAAAAATTTTCGTTAACACGACGAATACGTTGCAAGAGATGTCCCATCATGGCAAAAAGTTATCGGCAGTTGCTGAAACGGTAGAAAAGCTTCAGGCTGATCTAAAAGCAATGAAGAGAAAACATGAATCAAACAAAGAGAGTACGTCGAAAAAACGAAAAACGTCTGACAGTGACACATCTTCGGACGACGATGATGACGAAAATATAAATGACACAAATAATGCAGCAGACGTAGCTGATATATTTTCTGATAGACAGTCTGACAATGATGGAGAAGAAGAAAATGATGATTTCCTCCAAGAACTGGATAACCAATTCAAAGAAAGACTGGAAACGGGAGACAAGGTGTCAGAAAAAATTGCTGGCTTTACAAACAGGGGTCTGCGGGCTGATCCACAGGAACAAGTAATGAAACAACTTAGAGAAAAGCATAAAAGACCAGAAAATCTACCAAACCTTCAAACTCCTCAAGTTGAGACGTTCTTGTGGAGGGAATTAAAACTGACAACAAAATTGATCGACGCAAAGCTACAGAAGTCTGTACATCAACTGTCAGACTGTCTGGTCCCAGTTATTAAAGCTTTGGACCATGTCCGAGTATCGAAGACAGTTGACAGAGAATTGATGAAAGACCTGTTAAGTGACACATTCAATATGATGGTCCACAGCATCACATCCACAAATAAAGCTCGAAGGGATAAAATAATTCAAGAGGTCCATCCTACATATAAAAGCATATGTCAAAAGTCTGTGCCATCTGCCACACAATTATTTGGCGACAACCTGAAAGAAGAGGCAAAAGCTTTTTCGGAAAGAGCACCACAGATGACACAGGGTCCAAAAAATCCTTTTTTAGGGAAAAGAGGAGGGGGGCACTCCAGCAAGACCAAACAGCATTATCGGAAACCATACAACAGTGGATACAGTCAGCAGAAACCATTTTACAAACACAGCCGACCACAACTTCCTCACAAAA